ACTTGTAGTATGTCCGCGTTATTCTAATTTTCTTGTTTTAATTGTATTTAAAATCTCCATTTCTTTATTCATTCTTCTCAGAACCTCTTTGTTTGTGACCTGTTCTGTCCATGATATTTTCAGAATTCTTCTATACACCCACAGCTCGAATGATTCCAGTGCTCGAATGATTCCAGTAGTATTCCAGATTCCAATGAGTAACCATTCATGTTCTTTATTGGGTCCGACCACCGTACTGGAGATCTTCCTCTGGACCTTTTACCAGCTACGTTACCTTTAACTCTCATTCGCTCCATGCCTTCTCTTCTTCTAGTTATATGTCCAAAATATCTCAGTATATTTTGGTTGAGTTTTGATGAGTCTAGTTTTTATGTTTAGTTCTGCCAGAATTGAGTTAGTTGTTCGATGGGCGGTCATAGTATGCGCAATATTCTACGGTAGACCCACATTCCAAATGTCATTTATACGCTTTATTCTATCCATGATCATCACTTTGGTTTTGTGCATATTTATATTCAAACCATATTCCGTTCTTACCGTGCCTAGTCTATTCATAATTTGTTCCAGTTTTTCTGGTGATGACGCCAATATAACAGTGTCATGAGTATAATGCAGGTTTTTGATTTTTCTTCCCCCCATCGTTGCTCCAGCTTGTCATTCCTCAAAAACTTGACGCATAATATGTTCACTATATACATTGAATAGAATAGGGGATATTATGCATCCCTGTCGAACTCCAGATTATAATTTGAAGTTTTTCGAAACCACGTTATTGACTCTTACATTAGCAGAATTATTTACATATAGTTTTTGTAATAAATAGATTAGATGCTCTGGCGTACCCACTTCTCTAAGTATATACCACATTTTATCCCATTTTACGGTATCGAAAGCCTTAGAATAGTCAACAAAGCATAAATATATTTCTATGTTAAAATCTCGAGATTTTTCAATAATTTGACGAATATTGAGAATATGTTCTCTTATTGCTCTACCTGGGACGAATACGCATTGTTCTTGGGGAATTTGTGGTAAGAGATTTAATTTTAGTCTTTCATTGATCATTAAAAGTACTTTGCTCGTATGTGATATCAATGCTACTGTACGGTAATTACTGCAATCTGTCGGCGAACCTTTTTTATAAATGGGAATCAACGTGAGTTTACCCCAGTCATTTGGCCACTTTCCGGTATTCCAAATCTCATTTCTCATGCAAGTTCTAAACATTACTTCCGCACCTAATTCTTCCATTTCGTTGAGTGTATCAGCTGTTATTCCATCTTCTCCTTCCGCTTTTTAATTGCCGCCTCAATTTCTGGTTTTAATATTTGAGGTTCTGTTTCACAACTTCTTTTCTCTGTATTATTGTCTGGGTAGTTGTTAGAGAATAGTATTTTGCAATATTGTTTCCACACCTCTGCGCTACCATCTGGGTTTGTGATGGTATTTCCACTACTATCTTTAATGATCTGTGTCTGTGGTTTGAATTCTCTACGATATTAATTCCTTTATCTTTTTTCTATTGTTAGTGCTTGACAAACTTTTGGTTACTATAATTGTACTAGATTTCCTGAAAAAAAGAGTCCTAATTGGAGATGAAAGTTGCGTTCTCTTGTATACGGATAACGTACCTAGTCACAGATCTGATCATGCAACAGCTGTCATCACTTAAGCAGATTTTGACTTAATTAGGCATCCGCCATATTCTCCAAATTTGGCTCTCAGCGATTACTGAGTGTTCCCAAAACTTAAAGAACATTTGCGAAGTAAAGATTTTCTTCAGATAATGGTATCAGTAGAAGGTAAGCCACTTCACCAAACTTTGACCTAGACGTCATAAAATGTTGACATCTGACCAAAAATCTGTTAATGGCAGTAGTAATAAAATGGGAAATGTTAAGGTTTTGACCCTCATACACCTATTATCTCTTTTATTTTTGTTCTTTGACCTCATACACGTATTATCTCTTTTGTTATGTGTATATTTATATGAGTATATGTATGTATGTATGAGTATTTGTATAAGTTTATAATATACTGTCTCCAAATAAGCAACCATAAAGAAATTTTAACAATGACAAATATTCATTTGGTACTCAGAAGAATTATTGAGTGGTACCTTTAATATTATTATTTAAGGGACAAAGTTTAAGGGTGGAAAGGGAAAATATTGGGACCAATGCAGTTTTTAAATATGAAAAAAAGACAACGAAATTAAAGTTAGTCTAAGGATATACTAAAATATTTGAAAGCAATCAATTCGATTAATTTACACACATTGTAAAAAGTTAAAAACACTCTGTATATTAGTTTTGTTTTTCCCAAGGGTTTACAGTATATGTATTACATTACATTTTTAAGTTGGGAAATATGAGAGTGGCATTATTTGAACCACTTTCAACATTTTAATCTAATTCTGGGTCCTAAAATAGCTGCCTAATTTTTTTGAGTAATTCAATTCAGGAACCAGTTTCTAGTATGTGTAGCTTATGTTTGTCTACTTAATGATACAAAATAATTTATTGCGCTGTTTAGTGGTAAAAAGAAGCAGAAATATTATTTGAGAGTTCACTGCTTTGTCAGAGCTAAGTGTTTAAAATCATCTCCAGTTTGTAACTCTCTATCTGACCATCTCAAACAAAAGGTACTATCTCTATAACACATTCCATACATCCCTATTCTTTGGGCAAGACTATCGATAAGATGTTTTAATAGTAAAGTGGTGATTGTTCTATATTTTAAACTAAAATATATGCCCATTAAAATTTATTGACTATTTTGCATATTATTTTTGTCAAAAGTTATTAGCTCTTTTAAAAAAACGTTCGGCTAATGTAATACAGGGTGACAATTAGGACGATTTTGAACTAAATGGTACACAAGAAATTTGCAAGAAAATACTATTTTATTAACATCAACATAATACTTATATTATGCCATTTACAATCTAATATGGAAATGGAAAATAATATCATCAAGATGGTGACCATCACGTTGGATGCAGTGTTCGATCCTCTTTATGAATTCCTTTTTAACACCCTCTAACATCGGTATGCTAGCATATACACGACTCCCAAATATTCTCATAGAAAAAACTTACAAATTGACAGGTCTGAAGACCTTGGAGGCCACGGCAACTTTCCAAAACGTGAAATGAGTTGTCCTGGGAACAGCTTGAGGGCAATATTCAGTGAAGCATGGGCAGTATATGCCGTGGCACCATCCTACTGAAACTACACATTTCTTGGGTCTATCACTTTTCTGTGTAGTTATATATATATATATATATATATATATATATATATATATATATATATATAGGGCCCGCGTAGCGCAAGCGGTAGTGTGCTTGCCTCGCATGCGGTGGTCGTGAGTTCGAATCCTACCGCCGGCAAGAACAACTAGGCATTTTTAAAAATGTCTATAGGCCCCAGGTCGACTCAGCCTGAATAAAATGAGTACCTTGGGTAAAACCAGGGGTAATAATAGGCGGTTGAAGCGTAGCACTGGCCATGTTACCTTCCTTGTATACCGTAGGCCCTAGATATAGCAGACTACCCTGCTATACTCCCAAAGCCGCGTGCGGTATAAAACGGGAGACTATTATTATTATTATTATTATTATATATATATATATATATATATATATATTATATATATATATATATATTAATATATATATATCCGGTTTTTTAGGCGTTACGCCCGTCCGGTAGGGATCTATGGAGGAGTATCACCAAGCCGCAAGCCCTTATCTCTTGCCGTACTGCTCCACCATAGGCCGATCAGATCCCAGCATATCCTAGTCTAAGCCGCAGATTCATCTAGAATTTTAAACTGCTGCGTTAGACTTTTTGTTTTCAGTACACCGAGCTGGGGCTCGAACCCACATCCACTGAACCATTCGACAGTGCAGCGAATGAGAGGCAGCGCACAGCCCGCTGAGCTATCTGACCGACACTTCTGTGTAGTTCTGGAACCAAAAAATTTTGGATCATGTCAACGTAGTGAATAGAATTAACGGTGGCTCAATAATGCTCAGTATGGCCCAATAATGCCAGTCGGACCAATGGAACACTACACTATGACTTTTTGAGGATGTAAAGGACGCTCATGGATATTTCGTGAGTTTTCAGGAGCACAGTACCTGTAATTCTGTTTATTAACGATTCCGTCTAAATGGAAATGAGCTTCGTCGCTCATTAGAAAATGCTAACCCAAGTTATCCTACAAAAGAACTTGCATTCTCGTAGCGTAATCGTCACGTTGTTCAACATCTCTTTCCATTAATTTCTGGACAATCTGCAATTTGTAGAGGTGAAATTTTAGGTCCTTATGCAACATTTTTTTAAGCGATTCCTGATTAATGTTTGTTGCTTTTTTTCATGACACTGCCTGTTGTTCTAAAATTCTTTATCTATCTCTAGATTGTGTTGCTAGATGGAACCGCTCCACGCCTACCAATATTAAAGTGAGTGCGAAAAAGCCGCTGCTTAGTGATCACTGATTCTGGATTTCGGATAAAAGTATCATATGCAAACGTGCACCGTCCACTGCTTCATGTTTACTGAAATGGCACACCACTACAGAGGTAAAGATAATGTAAACACTGACCATGGAGGTGTGCGAAGGCGGAGTCAAAATTCCCGTAAAGGCAGCAAGGTTCTATTGCAAGTGGAATTATACAGTGCATAGTACAGTGCATTTCGCATGGAATTTGGGACTAAACCAAATTTCGTCTACTGCACCGTGCTTAGGAGTGTTTGCACTATCTCTAGTAACACCCCGCTTGTCCCACTCTCATCCCCTTAAGCTTCGTACTATGCGTTCTAAAAACAACCGGCTCCCGATCGCCACCGTGTAGAACACTTAGATGATATAGGTATAAAATATCTGAAAAGATTCAATATAAGACGAATTGCTTATAAATTGTAACAATAAATTTATTTAGTCTATTGTTTAATACATTTATCTCAAATAAAATTTGATTTCTGTTTCAGATTCCATAGGCCTTGACGATTGCAAGGCATACTAGAAGAAAAGAAAATTACTGTGATGGGCGTAGTTGTAGTAATCTTTCCCATAATCGCTTACTATTAAAGAAAAAAACATAAAATAATAAAATAAAAAAAGACTTATGTTAGAACCATCAAAACTTGGAAAATTGTGTAGTTGTTTTTGTACATAAGTGATTTTTTATTACACAAAGTTTTTATTATTAATTATTATTATTAGTTATCAATTTTTGATTATTATGATTATTATAATTATTATTATTATACATAGCGATTGTAAATTTTTTCTTCTTTTTTTCTGTTTTATGTTTATTGAGTTAAAACAAACACTTCTTATTGTACATACATAGTGCGATTATATATATACATAGTTATTAAAACTGTTTTGAACGTAAACATCACACCGATTAGATCGATAACTGGCAACACTGATAACTCACTGCTATCTAGTACTGGTACGCAGAGGAAATGATATCATATACTCATTATTTTCAGCATTTTTAAATACTTTTTGCAAAAGTGGAAAGAGCTTTAAATTTATTTGAATATTTATATTGCCAATTTTTACCAAGACACATCTTAATATTCCTTATTTTTGGGTTTAAACAAATACAAAGACTGCGTAATGTTTTGAGTCCAGTTAACTGAAGATCATAACAGTTAGTAGAAGACACTTCTGATCATTGCAACATCGCTTTTGATAATGTCTCGTCGCAGGCATGAAACGTCAGGAAGAAGTTATTCCAGACTACGGTCTGTAAACTCTAAAAACAAGGTACAACCACATAATATTGGTCGTAATATTCTGTGTACTCTTGGAGAACAGAACTCAATATTTTACTTTTATCAAAACATTGTTGTGGACCAGAATTATGTCCTAATATCGAACTACTGGGAATTTTTAAGTCTACTTTCCAAGATTTAATATTTCATTAAAATGTATCTGCTTGTAATGTATATTCAGTCATTTGTTCCATATTTGTCTTTTTTGTGTTTTAATTCTTTTTAGTTTCACAAATTCATAATACCTTCTCATGATTTATTTAGTGGTTCTTCAATAAAGTTTGTGATTCGATAGAAAAAGCAGGTTCTAATTGCTAAAATGGTTTTTATTAGTTAATATAATCTCCCTGTACTTGCATACAATTGTTCCAGTAATCTTCAAATCGAAGACGATTCCACAGCTGCTATTATCCCTTGATTTATTAAAAATCGTTTCAAATAATTGATCTTTTTCAGATGTGAAAACAGCCAGAAGTCGATAGGTAGTTAATCCGGAGATTAGAGTGTACGTAATGGTGCAACAAAGTAAATTTTGGCGATCTTTTTTTTAAACCGTGCCTGATATTGAAGAAAAAATGATATCTTTGCTTTAAACCATTACTTCTGTCACTAGTTTTACACCCAGTTTGTACAAAAGATTACAATAACAATCGGAGTTCATTGTTTTAGTAGGTAACACTATTTTAGTCGATTTCTGGATTCTTACTAGCTTGGGAGCGATGTACCGGATTCACGCCACTCCTCCTCCTTCTCCGTTTGATTTATAATCATAATGGTCGTCTTAAGTCTCATCTATAGTAATTAAATGATGCATACAATATTTTTATACAACTAAAACACCCCAAATGTTTTGTTTCGTTGTTATTGAAATGCGACACCCATTGTGCACACAGTTTTCTAAGATCCAAAACAAATTCTCACTGCTAATTAAATATATATTTTTCTTATTATAGGTAAATAATCCTTATTACACCTTTATCAATCGTTTTGGAGTTTGTTTTGGTGTTAGACATGCCAAAAATAAAAATAAATTTCACAATATTTGTTTCCATTGTAAAACAACATTACTTAAACTTTGATCAGCTGTAAATATTCGAATGATTTAATACATTCACATAAAACTTGTTGTGTTTACCAAAAAGCAGTGCCATCTCTATAACAATTCTCTTAGTAGCGCCATCTCGTATCGAATCATTAAATTTTACTGAACAACCGGATGTATGTATGCTCTTGTTAATTCCTAATGTTTGTTGGCACTATTGTATCATACATATCTATCTTATTTAATACAAAGACTCTGGATCTATCTTCATATGGCAAATACGGCATTGGATCAAAATATTTTTTTTTTAAATGTCGATTCTATAGTTTTGTGAGACAGCTTTGCCCGTACGGTTATAAGTGCAACTAAAGCTATAACAGATTCAAGAAGAATTGATGATGGATTCGGATTCAGTATTAAAAGTTTTAATTGATAATTATAAAACCGGATTTTGCACTTTGGGTTTCAAGAAAACTAGAGTCTCTGAAATAGTAAAGTATTTGAGGTACTAGAAGACTAGAATGCTAAAAAATTGCACATTTCCATCAATTCCTTTGTATCTATTATATATGGAAATGAAACTTTTATATTATTATACAATTTTTGAAGATTTTTTTCCCGTTGTTCCTGTAATTTAAAGATGGCGCCAAAAATTACTGCTCCATGGCGTACAGTTAATATCTGAAACGAAAATTCTTAAAAAAATAAAATGACGGACATTTGAAAAAATTGTTCAAAAATTAACCTTTTTTTCTACTTATTTCAGCCATAAAAATTGTATTATTACTTGTTTTGGCCAAATTTGTTGTAAACTATTATATAGAAAACTAAAACAAACAAAATTCATCAATGTTTATGAAAATCGACCGACTAGATCCGGAGATTTTGAGAAAAACTACGTTTTTAAACCTGGCGGACAGTTAATCTTCGATCTAGTCAGTTCTTTTTAATAAACCTTGATTAATTTTGTTTGTTTTGATTTTCTCTACGATAGTTTACCACAATTTGACAAAAAAATTTGTGTTTGAAAAAATTTCCATTTTTGAACAATTTTTTCATATGTCGACCATTTTGTTTTTTTTTTTAAGAATTTTAAATTTTTCTGGTAAACCATCACGTAAGGGCATTTCTTTTTTAAAACCATTCTCGAACTTATGTGTTATATTTGCTGTTTCAGAGGTTAACTGTTCGCCATAGAGCAGTTAGTAATGATTGGACGAAAAATTTTTGGCGCCATCTTTAAAATACACGAACAATAAAAAAAATACTTATTTAGATTCATGAGCTTCTTATTAAAGTGAATATTGTCGCTCCTATAAACTTTCATTGTTGTTCAGACTACCCATACTTTTAAAAATATTATTTAAGTAATTACTTTATTAAATATAACCATTTTTGCAAAAAAAAATGTTTATCTTAAATCAAATATAATTGATTAATCAAAAATTTCCTCGACATCAAGAGTACTACTACTAGAACTGCCAATACGATCTTACCAATTATAATATAAGTGTTAGAAGTTGGTAACAACACCAAATAAAATTAAATAAAGTAAATACCAGAAACGCTAATTTACTCCTCTTGTATTTTGTTTATTTTTTATCAACATTTTATCATACTGCCGAAAACCAATTGTTCACATAAAATGATCAAAATTGGAATTCGATATAAATCATAATTCTTTTTAATTTCTGATATTTAAAAATTTTATTCTGTTCATATTTTAACTGTGTATGTTTAGATTTTTTTATTATACATATTTTAAAGCATTTTCGAGTATTTTTTATTAATTATTACATGTTCCCAACTATTTAAAACGAAGGAGAAGACACAATAAAAATAGAGGATCTGGAAATGAAAATTTGACAGAAACCAAATTGCATATTTTATAAGGAAACAATCTATGTTTGCTATCGAGAAACATTTAGATTCGTTATTGTGGATGTGATACATAGTAGAAGCACAGCATAGGAAGTGGTAGAAGTCACAGTTAGAATGCATTGTTGATCTCACGGCGCGCAACGATGCCGCTAATGCCGGCACAGTGGTAGGTGTGTGGTAGTTTGCCGATAGACTGAGAAATCAGGACCGTACGCGCTTTGTTTCAAAATTCGATATACGATAAATACACTCAGGTGCAAAAAATCGATCCATTCTTTATTTCTTATTTATTTGAAGTTATATAATTTTAGAGACATTCAATTACGTATGTAAATTTAGGTGTACCCTCGTATACGAGTAATAAAATAATATTTTTAATATTGCTTTTTATATTTCTTAAAAGAAATTGGTATTTCAGGTTTTTGTCAAAAAGGGTCGGAAGCAAGTAGATATTTATTGAATTTTGTTTTTAATTCAACAACCATACTAGTGTAGTGATTTTATTTTCAAAACATGTTATATTTTTATTTAATTATCCTTCCTAAATGTCTCTAACTCCGACAGATGCTGCAAGGGCGGTGACTTTAGTTCAAGATGGTCGTAGCCAATATCATGCAGCTGAACTGTTGGGTGTTAGTCAATCTTCGGTTCAAAGAGCAGTTCAGGGCAACGACACCGGTAACTTCACAAGAAGACCAGGATCAGGTCGTAGAAGGGTAACATCCGAAAGAGATGATCGATTTCTGGTCTCATCATGTTTGATAAATCGGCATCTAACTTCAGTTGAACTGGCAAATCGTCTGAGCGAAGTGAGAAATGTGGATGTAAGCAGATGGACAGTTCGTCGACGACTTGTAGAATGTAATTTATTATCCAGAAGGCCAGCCCTATCTCCAATACTATCCGTAAAACATCGCAGAGCTCGCCTTGCTTTTGCAGATGCTGGAGGAATGTATTGTTCTCAGATGAGTCCAGATTTTGTCTAGACTTCCAAGAAAGGGTTTGGAGAAGACACGAGGAGTGATATTTTCAATGTAACTTTGCGGAACGAATAAGTTATCGGGGGCTCCGTTATGGTTTGGGCTAGTATCAGTTCAGAAGTCCATACTGATTTAGTTATTGTAGAGATAGAGGTTCTATGACTGCTGCAAGATACATAACAAGTACTTTAGATCAGCATGTGGTACCTTGTGCTTCTTTCATTGGACCTAATTTTATTTTTATAGACGACAACGCGCGTCCTCACCGTGCTAGAATCGCCAACCAATATATAGAGGAGGTGGAAATTGTCCGTATGAACTGGCCAGCTTGCAGTCCCGATCTTAATCCCGTAGAACATCTATGGGATATGATGGGAAGACGTCTTCGAGCACGAGTACCCGTCCAAACAACTTAGCTGAACGTACAGCGGCTTTTCAAGAAATATGGGACTAATTGGATCATTTTGATATTCAGAGATTAATTACCTCAATGCCTAGACGTGTACAGGCTGTTATAACGGCCCGGGGGGGGGGGGAACACTAGATATTGATTTATTATCAATGTTTTTCTTAATTTCAGAAAGTTTTGAATATTCTTGTATTTTTGAGTTTTGGCGTATGTCTGTATAAATAAATGATTTTTTTGGATAATCTGTAAAAATTATTTTAATCTAACATATACTTTTACATATATACCTGATTTAAAACTAATATCTTCAAACGTTTTCTTTTTTCAGCAAATAATACCCATGAATCGATTTTTTTGCACCTGAGTGTATGTATACATAAAATACACAAGATCTTAACTGAAGTGTACCGTACGTTCAGTAGTAAAAAAACAATCATACATTTCAAAAATGACTTACCTACCTGAAAACTGAACTGAACTGAAAACTGATACTGTTTCGCTCTTTAAACTATCTAAACAAGCTTTAAGTTGAGGCTGCTGTTACTTAACAAGGCTCAATCCTGCTACGTATCTCTATGTCTGGATCTAGATCTTCAGTTATCCAACTACCGAGATATCTGAACTTGAGGACCTTTTGGATGTTCTTGTTGTTTGGTCTTATATTTAATTGCATATTTCGTGTTCTACTAACCACCATTACCTTCGTCTTGTGTGTATTAATCTTCAAGCCCAGTCATTCTCCTTCAGTGTTTATTCTATATATTAGTCGTTGTAGCGCTTCTTGGCTATCAGCTATTATGACTGTATCATCAGCATAGCGAAGATTACTAATAGTCTGTGCGTTGATTTTGATTCCATCTTCAGTGTCACTTAAGGCTCTATCGAAAATCGTCTCAGAGTAAATATTAAAAAGGAGGGGTGACAGAACACAACCCTGTCGTACACCTTTTTCGATTGAGAAGTATGATGTAGATTCCAGTCCTACTTTCACAGATGCCACTTGATTCATATAAAGATTCTTTATGATTTTAAGGTCATTCTCAGCTATCGAACGTTCCTGGAGCAATCTTATTAATTCTGAATGATTAACACAATCGAATGGTTTCTGGTAATCTATAAAGCATAGGAAGAAATTTTTTTTGCTGATTTGTACTTTTAGTTGAAGAATATATTAAATTATTTCAAATTTACTAAATTATTAATCTCTAAAAATTTAAATTACAGTTCTGTCGTAGCTTGTCACAAATTTCTCAATTCGAGTCTTTGTTTCCGTTTAAAATATGGCGATCGCGTGCTGACACACTTCAAAGGCGGCATCTGAGAGTAGACATTCTGATTGTTATTTATTCTGTGCCTAAAGCATTTTACTAAAATATTAAGTAAATGACCCTCAAAAGGTCAGGTCAAAATGTTTGAAACTTCGTATCCAAACAGTAAAGCAATGACATTTATTAGATGGGTCTATAAATATTATACGTCATTGGTTGGTACCTATATATTTAAAAATTTCTTCATGTACACTTATCGATTTAAAACAGCTTTTTACTATTCTATTGTTAATTATAACCATCGCAAAATCGTTAATGTGCGACTGGTCTTAAGTACCGTAGTAGATGATATAACATACTGAACATACAGTATAAGGTCATGGCAACACTGCCAACGCAATCTGTCGTTCTGTGAAACTTAATTGACACCTCTTCACTGGGACCAAATGAGAGAAGTGTCCATCATACATAGTATGACCAACTCCAATTCAATCGAATTCGGGACAAGGCTAAAAAAAATACCTGAAATACGGGACTTTTTATTGAAAATCTGACCATTTTTGATTTTTTTTTTTTAACAAAGACTGTAATACTATCATTTTAGTAATTATTTAACATTATTATGTTGACAATGATATTTTGATGGGATTAAGTCATAATTGGTATAATAATTAGATTAAACAAAGACATTTTTAACAATTGCCTTACAGTTAATACGAGCTGACTGAAATTTGGTCAATCGAAAGCAATTCCGAAATATTTTCGATGAGCAATCAGCTGAGCGAAAGTTTTTATTTTTCTTAATCATATAATACACCCACACACCTTCCCGAGCTGCTGTCTCTAAATCAATATTGCTCGATGTTGCTGTTGCCTTGAAAAATTCAGTAAATTTTTTGCTGCTTGCCGCGGAGCTAATACCTCTTTGGTGTTTTTTCACTTTTGATGTGACTCACTACATCCGCTCTATCACTGTGGGCGATCGAAAATTCGGATCCACGAGTATCACATTTTACGTCACTCTTGGTTTTTTTTTCTTTCAAAAATGGATATTTTTCTAGCAATGTTTTATTAAAAGTGCAATAGCGTTTTCCTCTTTTTACTTTCTTGTTACGGTTCCATATTAACAATAGAATGGAATGAAAAATGTAAAGTCAACTAAACAATACTTCGGACCTTCGTAGATGATCAGTAATTTACTTGTGAGGCTTCAAACTGAATAGTGACATAAAACAATGTTTTATGTAAGAAGTTTGTTTACCTACTTAGAATGGTTGACAAAACCAAAAAAAAAAACATTATCAACAATCATTACATCGTTGAATGCGGCACACCTCAGTTGGCATGATTGATGTGTATACAATCATTGAGCAAAAAGATAAAAGAGGGAATGTAAAGGTAGTGGGGGCAAACATATTGTTAGACAGGAAGTGCGATCTTTAGAGGCCACATTAAACAAGGAAAGAGAGTCTATCTCCTTATTTGACATCAAATTTAGTTGGGTTATGTTATTGTTTGTCCCAAATGTCACATGAAATCTTATTTATATTGAAGTTTTTTAACAATTGTGTCGCATTTTAGACTCTTATCATTATTAATTAATTAAAACTTTCTCGTCTAAGACACATTCTGAAAAATATTATATAGCTACTGTTGATAAGTGTCGGAAAATTTAAATTTGGCGCATTCGCATTTCCGGATATGTCCGCCATCAGAGGCCACTTTTTTGGTCTCCTTTTCATAAGGATTAGATTCCCTCTTTTGTCTTATTGCTCGATGTATACAATACATGAATTGTTATCATTTTTGAATAATCTGTTTGGAAGAAGATAATTAAAATACAGAAACGAAAAAAGTGCACAGTTTGAGTTTTCCTATAACATAATACCACGATAAAATGCATGCGTTTTGTATGTGGTATTAGTATTACACTCTGGAATTATTGAAGAATAACGTATTTAGAATTTCAAAATAGAATTTTACCAAAAAGTTAAAAATTCGGATGACCCTGTCCGGGACACGATTTCGTAATTCGGGCCATGTCCCGGATTTATCGGGCTAGTTGGTCACACTATTCATACATAATATAAAAGTACAGTCCATCTAATTTACTTACCGTTACACGTCATTATCATTGAAGAGATCGAAGTTGACGTAGTTGCCAAAGTATAAAAAATCCTGAATCCATTTTAAATCAAATAGGTCACATAAAATAATCTTAAACAATTTGAGC